GGTGCGGTTTTTTCGCAGAATCTGACAGCTTCGGCTGGAAACATTAAAATCAATCAAAATTAAGTCATCGATGACGTCATTTTCTGCGCATGCGCCGTCTTCTTAAGGTCTCGGACCGGAGTTTCCCTCCGTATTTCGAGCAATTTGACACCCTCAGCCCGACGGGCTGTCATTTCTGTACTAAACGCGGGTCGGAATTTTTCACTCTTTTGGTGGAAAGGGGTGCCGTGCCGCTTATCAATAAACTTGATTGATATTTTCTGCGCCCAATTTATTTAGGGGTAAATGAGGCACATCAAAGTACATTTTGAAAAAGGGGTAATTTTTTCGTCATTTTTAACCATGGCTGCATGGAAAAAACGAATTTTCCCAGGGTAACGGCTTAGTACTCGAAGAAGCTCAGAACCTAATGTTTCCAAAATTTGAATTTAATTAAAATCGTTGCGATAAGTTTATCGCTATCTTCGATGGCCGGAACACACCCAGAACGCATATAGAACGTACCATCCCGGCGGTCAGGCGAAAAGGCCACATAACCATCCGCGCGGACGAATACCAGGAAGTCTTAGCTGGACCACCAACATTACGCCACCTATAAAGGCTACAACTAACAGGCTTTTCAGAAAATACAAAGATATGTACACAGATATTACGATTTCAGGGATATCGCGGCCAAAACATACCATACAAAGTCACGTTTCCGGCGATTTACTGCGCACTTACTTAGAATTAAACTCCGACCCGGAACCTTAAACCAGTTTTATTTGGTGGTATGGAACTCTAACAGATTGTTAAAATCCATTTGAATACTGGAAATTATTTCATTACTTTGCAAGAAGGCATCTGATTGAAACATGTCGGGTGCGGTTCAAGATGAATCCATATGCGTTTATTTAATTAATTCAATTCGATAGTATTGACCACTTAAAGATTATAAAAACTCATTTGGTTGTTTAAAATTAGAGGACTTTTCAATCAAATGAATATAGAGTTTGAAAGGTTGTGGCTTGGTTTGACATACGTACGTGAAATGTCTATTCACATACTGTATGCGTGCTCATTTGCATATATGGGACAATAGAATGCTCAATCGAAGGCTGCGAATCGAAGGCCGAAAGGAGGGCTAACTTCAGGTTGGTCAAATGACGACGGAGAAGTGCGTGTATTAAAATCGGCCTCTAGCAGTTTAATGGACGACTGCACCTAGAGGACTGTACCAATGGTTGGCAAGTGGCGCCTACCACTGCAGTGATTTCTTTTCGCCGCTATGGGACGTTTTTGATCAATAGCGATTTCAACGGTTCAGGCTTCAGAGCGTCTCAAATTGTCAGATTTCCTACATGTTTCCATAAATTGACAATTACAAATTGACAATGGACGAGTTTCAGAGGAAAGAATTTAGGAAATGTGTGTCAGAAAGAAAATTTAAGCAGGATTGCTTGCTGTCTGGAAGAGTAAGATAGTGAAAGAAATGGCTATTTTTTTAAATATTGGCTAATTTGCTCCTATTATCGCAGTAATTCATTTCACCGCTATAAGGCGTTATTGATCCATGGCGAAGAGAGAGAGAGAGAGAGAGAGAGAGAGAGAGAGAGAGTGAGTGTGGGTGCGTGTGTGCGTGCGTGCGTGTGTGTGTGTATGTATGTGTGTGTGTGTGTGTGTGGTTTAGCACCATAACTCAAGAAGCTTTAGATGGATTGTTATGAAACTTAGGTGGGAAGGTCTTGATGATACCTAGAAATGATTAGATATTGGGCTCAAGACGGCTTCCCTTGGTACTGTAGCAGAACTTTCGGTTTTGATATCTCGTGATCTGAACATTCTAGGGTCACGAATTTTGGATGGTAGATAGCTCTTGTGCTCGAAAGAAGCGACATTAGTTTGGGTTCCCTAGTATCTTGTTCTGGAACTGCAGGCAGATTGTTTTAGAAACATTTGAGGGAGGATAATTCGAGAAGGGGTTGACGGATTGTCATGATTTTTAGTACGTAGGTGCTTGACGCAATTTGATTACAATTATGCAAGTCAGGATCTAATTAGCATAATTACTTTGGAAATTGTAGAAATCTGCTCCATATTAGGACTAATATGTAATATGGATATGTAATTAAGAACGAAACATTGGTAGATACAGATTATGTAAATGAAGATCTAATTTGCATAGTCAATGTGAAATTAATGCTAGAATAGCATGTTAAGATAAGGCTCATTGGGTGGAGATTATAATCAACTGATATAATCCATGATTGAAATGAAATGAGGATAGTATTTTTATTGTCAATATGAAAAATGTATAATTACGTCATTGGAGTGGTTAATTGAAATATAACATCATTTGGCGAGGGTTTTAGGTCGCGGAACACTTGTTTATTTTCTATATTGAGTTTTATTCATGTGTCTGATATTTAATTACTTTCTGTATTCCGTTTTTATATGAATGTGCAAAATGAAATAAACAAAATTAAGTCATCTTTTTCTGGTTACCACTAACAGTGTAACTGGATCCAACCGAATAAATCTACTGACGATATACTCACCTCGCTACTCACTGATAATGATATGAGCAGTACAGATGTGCATAATCAATGGCAATATCCTAACCAGATACATGAGTGTCCAGCAAATGTAAGAAATATCTGTAAATATCAATCAAAATTCCCTATCCATCCTAATTTTGAAACTACGATGTCGGTGAAGGACCCCTGCTGT